GTTCTATTGATTTCTTAATCTACAGAGCGGAACAGAGTTTTGTGGATAGTGGTTAGGATGTTAAGGGCTTGTCTACACTACGCAGCTTTTAGCGACAAGGCTAGTTTCCCCACAGTCGACACAGCCTTGTCACTAAAAGTTAGCGTGTGTGAACGCTCTGTCAGTATTTTGTCTGTACTTTTGCCGACAAAATACTTCCAGCCCCGTGAGTGGCGTTAGCTGTGTCGGCAGGAGAGCGCTCCTGCCAACAAACCGCGTTCACACTGTCACTTGCTTCGGCAAAACTTTTGTCTTTTGCGGGGGGGCTTTTTTAAGTACCCGTGAAAGACCAAAGTTTTGTTGACAACGTTGCAGTGTAGACCAGCCCTAACTCTGTCTGCTGCTGGTCACTGAGGTTTATATGCGTCATATAAGCAAGCCTTTGAAGATAGGCTGTATATCCTGTTTTTTATGACAAATGCGCTCCCAGAAGTGGCATCTGGCTGGCTGATCAATGATGGCGGTAGTTGACACTAGACTTGCTTGACGGTTGCAACAAGAGAGGCTGGTGGGATATAACTTGCAAGCTTCTTGGGATAACTTAATGTCTTGTTCAGATGGTGCAAATACGACAATATTTATCCTGTTTGCAGTGTTGTAGCTGTATTGGTCCCAGGATCTGAAAGAGATAAGATAGGTGATGTATATATTTTTTTTATTGGACCAACCTCTGTTGGTGGAAGGGACAGACTTTTGAGCTTCACAGAGCTCTTCCTTAGGCCTGGAGAAGGTGTCCAGAGTGTCCGTGCTAGTTTGTCTAGCTTCAGATCCAAGCTAACATGGATACTCAGGAGAAGAGATGGTAACCAGAAGAAGAGCTCTGTGAAGCTCAAAAGCTTTTTCCCTTCCACCAACAGAAGTTGGTCCAATAAAAGATATTACCTCACCCATCTTGTGTCTCTCAATATTTATCCTGGTTAATTCAGACTCGTGGTATGATATAGGTAATATTTTTTTTAAAATTAATGTCTGCACTTGCAGAATCAGCTTTCTCTTTTTCAACAGTAAAAATATTGCCCCACTAGTTAGCATGTATAAGACAAACAAGCCAAAAAATCTGGGATTTCTACTTCCATAAAAAGAAATGACTATGTAGAAATTACCTGAACAGACTGTCGTTTTCTTATCTTATCGTGGATTAATTCCTGGTTTCAGTATCCGTTGTTTGCTTAGCATGTGAGATTCTCTATCACTTCTGCTCAATGATACTGATTTGTTCTGGTTTTAAACACTTTTATGCTTTAGCATGGCTTTGGGAGAGAGTGTTTGCCAGGGACAGAGGAGCTGCTGATGAATATATATTCTCTATAATTAAAGGATAATGTGCAGTAGAAAGAGAGAGAGAGCTTCAAGATACACTATCTCTGGAATGAAATGTCACTTTGTTCTCTTGTAAAATCTGTCTGAGTGATCTGCACTGTATCTTGTAACTAGGAAATTCGCTTTATCTGTCGGATCATAGGACACTTCCAATTCACTGACTAGAGGATACTGGGTACAGTAGCTACCAAGGTTTTATGTCAAGTGCTGGTGTAATGTAGGCTTCTCAATGTGTGTAGGATGGATATCTGTGATAACTGCTCGTTGTTGAGCCTTCATTATTGGTTCTATGCCCTCAGTTGCTTGACACCAACTATCTAAGCTTTTCAGTGGTAACAACTTGAGTTTCTTCTTCAGTTCTTTTCCAGCACTGTGGCTATCTGTAGCACATATGGACTTATTTGTTCTACCTTTGCATCAGTCTTAATTTTCTTCTCCATGAAGATGGCTTTTAGATTCTCTTTTAAGAAAGTCTCTCTCCTCTCTCACCTCCCGAGGCATTCACTTTCTAACTGTTGCGCATATTTATTTTTGGTCAGCCTTTTCAGTGTGTCCTTTAAGTTCCTTCAGCAAATAAATTTCAAAGGTTGACTACCACCTATCTTCAGCTACTTCTTGTATTTCCATGTTCTCTATTGTCTCCCCTCGGTTCTCTTAAAGGTGAATTGAAAAAACCAAGAGTATCTTTGAGTACAAAACTACCTCCCACTTTCTTATATATTAAAAATATCAGATGTTCATCTCTCTGTACTGTTCTTCCCTATTCCCCTGTCATATGCTCACCTTACTTCAATTGAAAGCCAACACTTTACTTTAATCAGTCTCTTACTACCATATGGCTATTTAGAAGTGTGGGGGGTGGAAGGGAGTAGTATCTACCTTCCAAAGGTAGTAAGAAGTACAGGCAAAGTTCTCCTAATGAGCAGCAGTATCAGCTGACCAGTCTTCAATTTTACAGCTTCTGTAGGGGATCCCATTCTAACTACTCCGAAACTACCACAGTACCATATGCTAAACATGCCTTAGATAAAGGGCGATAATAGTATAACTTTCAAACTATAGGATCCATTGGTTCATTATATGGTCTCCATTACTGTTTGGATTTTAAACAGCAAGTGTAGTGTAAATTATTTAAATAGGAACATAGGATTGGTAGTTTATAGCAAAGTAGAAACTGGATTTACTTTGTAGAGCAGTTTAGGCAGCCCCTGGGCCAGCTGCACTGGCTGCTGCTGAGGCAGTCTTGGGCCACTGCACCCCCACACCCCCAGCAGGAGTTTGGGTGTGGGAGGAGGCTCAGGACAGGAGGTTGGGGTGCAGGAGGGGGTGAGGGCTCTGGGCGGCACTTACCTCAGGGAGGGGGGCCTCCCCGGAAGCGGCAACATCCCCCTCCCTCAGCTCCTAGCAGACAGCTCCCCGTGCTGCCTCCACCTGAAAGCACCGCCCCTGTAGCTCCCATTGGCCATGGTTCCTGGCCAATGAGAGCTATGAAGCTGGTGCTTAGGGCAGAGGCATCATGCAGAGCCAGGTAGGGAGCATTATAGTCCCATCAAACCTCTGCCCCAGCACCAGCGGGGGTCCCAGGCCACGTGCCACTGCCTGCCCCCTCAGTACCAACGGAGGTCCCAGGTTGCTCACCCATGGCACCCCCGCCCCCCCCCCGGGTTGCCCTCTCCCCAAGATTTAGTCAGTCAGGGCTGTATAATACAAGGTGGTGGAATCTCCTTCCTTAGACTTTAAGGCCTGGCTTGACAAAACCCTGGCAGGGATGATTTAGTTGGGGATTGGCCCTGCTTTGAGCAGGGGGTTGGACTAGATGCTCTCCTGAGGTCCCATCCAACCATGATATTCTATGACAGGTCACAGGCCTGAATTTTTGTGTACTGTCTGTGACCTGTCCATGACTTTTACTAAAAATACCTGTGACTAAAACGTAGCCTTAATTATAGATAATCAAAGGATTTTTAAATCTTTTGCTAGTCTGATGCTTTGCAGTTCAGTTGTAGAACGAAATAAAAGAACCTGTGTACTGCAATCTGTAACAGAATTGGAAGTCCCTTCCAGAACAATACTCTCAGCTGGAAATTAACAGAGATTCTGCATCCATAACAAATGTTTTCATAACTTAATTATTGATGATTACATTAAAAATAAATATCAAATCACTTTTTTTTTTAAATTTGTGACGTGAAGGATATACTGTGTATAAGCACACATTGCATAACCCTAACCCACCATACTAACACTCTGTTTTGTTTTGCTCTGGAACATTCACTTTATCATATTGGCTTCTTAGCATTAAATCACAAGTGTGAAGACATGCCGCCTCTTATTGTTTACATTACATTAATGTCCCAATCTGGTCCAAGGCCCATTATGCAGGGTGTTGAACAAACATATATGATTTTAATAAAACCCACAAACATGTCCCTTCTGCTCGCCCTCCCCCAGTAAAATTGACACACCTACCTTGCCTGTTGACAAGGATATTGCCAGGAACACGTAACCCCATGACTATCTCCACTCCCAAGATACCCTGTCTGTGAAATGGGATGCCTACTGTCATCCCCTCTTGCATATTGCATGTATTACGAGGGTAGAAGGCAGAGAATAGAAAAGCTATTGGTTTGTATTTCTCATAGGAGACTAGATGTTCAGGGATTGGGAGACCGATCCTGTGACTTCTGAGATGCATTCAGGCTGGTGACCACGTCAGCTGTGATAAGAGTTGCTGAAACTGTTGCCTCGACTTCATGGTAGAGAAGTCAGTTACAGGAAGGGCAACCTTGATAGAAACTGAATTCTGCTTGTACCTGGAGGCTGGGTTGAGACAAAGTAGCATAGCTTGTACTGCTCTTGCCCATACTGTGCCTATTCTATAGACCAGGGGAGGCCAAACTTACTGACCCTTCAAGCCGCATATGACCATCGTCAGACGTTCGAGAGCTGGGACACACCTGCTGGGGCTCCGAGCTTCAGCCCTGCGGGTGGCACCTGCTGGAGCTTGGGGCTTCAGCTTCTTTTGCTGCTGCTTCTCCCCAAGGAGCTAAAGCAGAGACCCCCCTCCTTGCAGCTCCCAGCTGTTAGCTCTGCAGGGAGAGGTAGCAGCAAACACCTGGGAGCTGCGGGGAGGGCCACTGAGGGAAAGAGGGGGAGTGTGCTGGGGGGTGTGTGTGTGTGTGACTCAAGCTGTTGGGAGGTCTGAACCTTCAAATTGTGCACCACCCCCGCACTCTGACAGTCAGCAGTTGTCTCTGGCAGAAGCTCCTAGCCCCACCCTGCCGCAGGGCAGAAGCCCTGAGCACCCCCCCCCTCCTCCCTGGTAGTCAGAGAATGGTGGAGTGTGGAAGGCTCCAGGAGCTGCACTTTAATTCTTTTGGCCACCCCTGCTATAGACTGTCAACCTGATGCCTTGCACACAATGCTAGCAACTCCTAAAAATCTTCACCTTGGCCAGGAGGAGTGCTTCCACAACTCTGAAAATCGATATTTAGCTGGAGACCAGTGAGAGTAACCTGTTTCCTGATCTTAAGCAAAGCACTCAGCTGTGTTACCATGAGGCTAAAGCAGAGTGCCTGTTGGCAGTGTGTTCTTTGTTTTGAATGAGTGACATCTGTGTGACTTTTTTTTTTTTTTAAAAGGGGCATCATCGCCAGATATGGAATCCACCTATGGGGGAGGCTTACTAGACATGGTGAAAGGAGGAGCAGGGCGACTCTTCAGCAACTTGAAGGATAACCTGAAGGACACCCTAAAAGATACCTCTTCAAAAGTTATGCAATCTGTTGCCAGGTATAGTACAACCAAAGCCTCTCAACGCAGGTAAAACAAATACTGTAGCTGCAGGATGTTAGTGGGAAGGAAACTACTTTGTTCTTAACCGGCATTGGACAAAGAACCTGGAAAAAGACCAGTTTATCTAGAAAGCTTTTCTTTTCTTTTCTCTTTTCTTTGATGTGAGCTTTATGAATGAGTCAGTCTTATAATTGGGTATATGGTTTAAATGAAGCTAAGACCGCTAAAGCAAGATTTGTAACCTTGAGATGAGTGAATGTCAGAGATCCTGAACATCGGAATGGGCTTTTCCTATCCATTCTCTTCTCCAAGTCTCTTTACTACTCTTACCTCTATATCCCTTGTGCAATCCCACTTCTATCCTATGCAGACCGTCTTTTGTCTTTTTAAATACCAATTCTCCCAACTGACTGACCTCTGTTCCCTCACCCATCTGCTGCTCAACATGAGACGACAACCTCTCGCTAACATCTCACTTCTCCCTATTCAGCCCCCCTTATTGTTTCCATCCTTAAATCCATTCTTGACTGCTACCTTTTTAAGAGAATTCTGTTGACTTGTTGCATGCTGTTGGTCACTGCTGCTGACCGCACCTCAGCTATGCACTGTGCTCTGGTGCCGCCTTGTGGTGTGCACTGTGTATTCTGGGCTAACTGAGCTGGCAGAGCACTGCATAGTTCATGATCTTACGAGAGGCTTTCAGGTGTCTGTGGAAGTTACTGACTGTGCAGGTTGCTCAAAAATTTCCATTAGAAATTGAAGTCAAGGCAGATGATGATGATGATGATGAAAAGTGGAGGATGCTCTTTTGAGAGAAAAAAGAAGGCAATGGGTTAAAGACAGTTAGGTATAAAAAGGTTGTTCAGTCCATTGTTGGAAAACAACATTTTAAAACTCGACTTCTGTCTTGTTTAGACTTAACGTCCAGTGTACTAAGTAGTTTGTCTCATCTGTTATCCATACTTAATCTGAAGTGAGTCTTTGTGGAGAAACATTGTTGTCTTGGCTTCTGTATGTAAGTGTGTACGTTAACGTGTCTTCCCTGCTTTCTTTCCTTTAGTTACACCAAGGGAGAGCTAGATATTTCTTATGTTACCTCAAGAATCATTGGTAAGTGTCAGTCACTTTTGTAAATGAAATGATGCTGTCTGTGGTAATCTGTGTTTATGAACCAACTTCTGAACCCTGTTGTGGTCCGTACTCACTCTTGTGTTTTGGTCTCAACAGTTATGTCTTTTCCTGCTGAAGGGGTTGAACTGGGGTTCAGGAATCACATTGAAGATGTGCGGACGTTCTTAGATTCACGACATCCTGACCACTACACGGTCTTCAATTTGTCACAGAAGTCTTATCGTAGTGCCAAGTTTCATAACAGGGTAAGTGCTTTCTTCTGGGATACCAAAGCCCAGGATCACAAAAATTGCTTCCGAGACCTCTTGCTATCTGACCCAGAGTTCTTACAAAACGAAGGGGGCAGGTTCTCTGCCTCCTGAGGCAGAGCACAGACGGCTCGGTTCAGGGAGAGGGGGGACCAAAGGTGGCTTTAAATGCCCATTACGCTCCCTGGATTCTGGCCTACTGCAGGGCCTCAAACAGCCCCTGGCATAAGTTAAAGCAGCCCTTGAGGGCTCAGTGCTATGGCCTGTACCTTAACCAGAGCTTGCAATGGGAGGGACTGTAGGGCTACTTAGGTTGCTGCTATGCCACCTGTGGCTCCTGTACAGCTACTAGAAACTGCTGCAGAGGAGTGAGGAATAAGCACTTAAATCTGAAAGATTTATCAGTCTATAAAACTTAGCGTTAATATACTGACTGAGTTGCACAATTCTTTAAAATTGTAGCATGTATGAATGAAAGTAGCTGCCATCTGCATGACTGCGTAACAGCATAATGCTCTGATGCTAATTTTGTTGAAGGCCTGAAAAGCAGAGGGTAGTTGTGACGGGTTAGACACGCCCTCTTTCCCCCCTCCCCCCACACACACCTGCCCTTCTTAGATGCCACCTGATGTACTGGGGTTTCACTGAGCCCCTCCTGCTCCACCAGCCTGGATTCCCTTCCCTGTTTTGCTGAATTAGGCTCTCCGGCCTCTTGCAGCACACACACAGGTAGGGCCACACCCAGCTGCAGACACAGACTGAAGTCAGCTCTGTGTGAGAGGACTCACCCAGAACTCACTTGCACACCCCCTTTGGGGAATAAACCCAAAATAATACGGTCTTGTGCTGTATAGAAAGATTTGCAGAGCGCAAGCTCATAAAAATTGGCCCTCTTCCTCAATGTGAAGAGAGATGCACAACTTCTTGCCCTCTCTCTCTTCCCCCCCAGTTAGAAATTGCACAAACTGGTTTTAATAATAAACAAAACAAATGTATTAACTATAAAAGGCAGATTTTAAGTGATAATAGGGGATAGCAAACAGAACAAAACAGATTCTGAGCAAATAAAACAAAACATGCATATTAAGCTTAAGATCTTAGACTAGTTTCAAGAAGTAATTTCTCACCTTAAATGTTGTTGTAGGCAAGTTGCAGTGTTTCTGTAGCTTAGAGATCCAGTTATTTCTTCTTACAGACTGGATCCCTGTCTGAACTCACCCCTGCCTTTCTTCTCAGGTTGGTTCCTTTGTCCCTTCAGGTACTTTCAGCATCTTTCTTCTTGGGTAGACCATGGAGGAGAGTCTAGATCAACCCCCTCCCCAGCCTTAAAAAGGATTTACCTAAGGCAGGAGACCTTTGTTTGATCCCTGTACGAGGAAAAATATCAGCAGTGTCCAAGGTGGTATTTTGTATCGGGTGATCTTATCACCTGACCTGGTAGTGTAACAGCTACATCTCAGGAAGGCAAGAGATTAGTATCTTCGCACTCTTGTTGTTTCTTCCTAATGGCCCATCAAGGCTGTGATGGTGGGTTGTCTGGTGGGACGGACGGACACACACACACACACGAGCGCGTAATTGTTACATAGTCAATATGCCTAATTCAGATACAGAAATGATACATGCATAGAAATTGGATAATTACATTCAGTAAATTATAACCTTTCCAATGATACTTTATGCAAGATGGCTCATGTAAGGTATATCTTAGGTATGCCATATTCATATCATATCCATATTTCTATGAAGAATATGGGGTGCGATGTCACAGTATAATCACCTACTGCAGATGTGGGCAAACTATGGCCCGCAGGCCATATCCAACACGCGAGACCATCCTGCCTGACCCCTGAGCTCCCGGACGGGGAGGCTAGTCCCCGGCCCTTCCCCTGCAGTCATGCCGCTGTGCTGGCCACGCTCTGGCCCGCTGGTAAGGGAGCGGGGAGTGGGGGGGTTGGGTTGGGGTAAGGGAGCAGGGGATCCTGGGAGGCAGTCAGGGAGGATGGGGCGGTTGGATGGGGTGGAGGTTCTGGGGGGGGGCTGTCAGGGGATGGGGAACGGGAGGGTTGGATAAGGGGATGGATACCGGGGGAAGTTAGGGGCGGGGGATCCCGGGAGGAGGTGGTCGGGGACGAGGAGCAGAGGGTGGTTGGATAGGGGATGGGAGTCCTGCGGGGGACTGTCAGGGGGTGAGGGCGTGGATATGGGACAGGGAACAGGGGAGTTGGATGGGGGCGGGGGTCCCGGGAGGTCTGGGGACAAGGAGCAGGGGGGGTTGGATGGGTTGGGGATTGTGAGGGGGGGCAGTCAGGGGGCAGGAAGTGGGAGGGTGTGGATAGGGGGCGGGAGCCAGGCTGTTTGGGGAAGCACAGCCTACTGTGTTGGTACTGTCCATAGGGAAACCTCACTTCACCAGACTCTCCTAGAAAGAATTAAAAAAGCAAAGCAGTGAGAACAGGTATCTTAGCAAAGGTGCTTTTAAAGAAGTTTTCTTTAAAATAAACTAGCATACTTCTGTGTTGCAAAACTGTCTCTAGTTACATAAAGTATTGATGCAATTGGTGATGTAACTTTATTTTGTGAGGGCAGGAATATCTGGTGGCTAAAGCACAGGGTTGGAAGTTAGATATGGGTTGTGTATCTGGCTCTGCCACTGACTTTTATTATTTGAGAAGTCACTAATGCTTTCTGCCTTAGTTTCCTCCTCTGTAAAACCAGAATGATACCAGACAGAAGTGTTGGGCTCCAATTTGTTGAAGGTTTTAAAGCATTTGGAGATCCCTGTAGATATGCAAGGTTAGGCATAACTGGTAGAAAAACTTTCCTACAAGCGATCTTCTTCCTCCTTCTTTCTAGCTCTGTCTTCCACCAACATGCAACATTAATTACTAAACTTAAGCTAGTGTAGCAAGAGATTACCTGACTTCAGTTTAGTCTGATCTATAGTTAATAGTCTAATTGCTGCTACTGTCTAGATCACTGGTAGCCATTCCATTTACATTTGTGCACATACCATGGATTTTTGCCACTAAAAAAAATGGCGTTTGTGAACGGCCTTTCTGTGGTGGTGTTGCATGCTGTCAGTGAATCAGGAAAACCTGTTAGGTTAAAATAATCAAGGAGCTTTTAATTTCCATTCAATTAATGAATTCAGGCATATTTGTTGGCAATGAGGCTGAGATGAAGAGGGCTCAAAAAAACTGGACTAACATCGGCTCTTATGTATCAATAGAAGATGCAGTGGGATCTGTATTTTCAGCAGCTCAACTTATAATATTTTAGTGGTATTGCTGCTGTTGTCATATATTGAAAGAATGCTATAGGGCAGGAAATAGTATTCATTATTTACTACTGTGTATGTTACCTACTAAGAATGACTAGCCATTTTGTTAGCTGTTGCCTCAAGACATGAGGCAAAAATGATAAATAACATATTAAAATGCAGCATCTTAAGATTCTGGGCTGGGATAGTCTGTCTCTACTAGGCAGGCAGGAAAGATAAGGTATAATTTTGCATAATTGTTCCATGGTGCTCTTGCAGTGGATGTGGTATACATGAAAAATACTAATCGATCCTAAAGGAGCTGAAATCCTTGTATAACTATTCTCAGTTAATCCTGAGCCAAAACCTAAATGGAGAAGTGTTCCTCCCAATCCCCTCCATGCACAGTAGCTGCTTGTTCTGTTGTTTATTTAAAGTGGATTATTCGTTTCCTATTCTCTAAGACTTTTTTTCAAGAGGAATAAATCTTTATATAAAAATGTTTTAAATTCATGATTGCTGTTAAGTCTCATCTTTTATAACCCTTTTTGCCTCCTACTGGCTCATTCACCACTTTTTTCCCCCCTAGACTTGTGAAGAGGAAAAGTAGCTGCCATATCTGAAGATAGGAGACCGTTTTAAAAAAATTAGCAAGGCAAAATGTAGAGCCACTGGAAGAATGTAAATAGGAACAGTATAATGCTCATTAGTCCTTTAATATTCCATTCTTCTAGTGTAGGGGTCTCAAACTCCTGGCCTGCGTGGCTCCAGCAGTTTTGGGGCCAGGTCTCTCCCTTGGCCCCACCTGCCGCCCCCGGGCGCTCCCCCGTCTGGGGCCCCGGCAGCACAGTGGAGCTGAGCAGCGTCTGCCTGCTCGCTCCAGTGGCTGCCAGCCCCTCCATCCGGCCCTGGGGCGGGGCTGTGTCTCCGTGCACTGCCCCCACCCCAAGCACCCCTGTGGCCAATGGGACGCTGTGGGGGTGGTGCCTGGGGGCAGCAGCGCACAGAGGCCCCCTGGCCCGCCCCAGGTAAGCACCGCACCGCCAACCACCTCCCAGAGCCTGCACCCCAGACCCCTTCCGCACCCAAACTTCCTCCTAGAGCCTTAGGCAGGTGGGGGGTGGAGTTTTGGGGGGTCAGGTTCTGGGCGGCATGAGTGACATTATTGGCCCGCTGGGAGGATTTGAGGACTGGCACTGGCCCTAAGGTATATTGAGTTTGATACCCCTGTTCTAATGACTTTCCTGGTAGTGGTTTCTCTGCCAGTTTCCCAAGGAAGCTGGGAGAAATTCAAAATAAAAGTCTTATGCACAAAAACAAGATGACGTTACGGTCCTAACATGTATCATAAACATGGCCACAGGCCCCCATATTTCAAAAGCCATATAAAACTTCCACTTTTATGTTGTGTTGAATTTCCTTAGTGATATTGAGGTAGCACTTCAAATAAAGAAAACTACGTAACATATACTTAAAAATTTCCTAATTGCATATTTGCTTGCTGGCCTGTAATTACAGACCAAGCAAATGCATAATTATGGACTGCTGGAAATGCATATTTACTTTATAGATGGTAATGGCTTTTTCAGAGTCTGCTGTGTCAAGGCCTAGTTAGAGGATATTTAGTTTATGGGTGGTTGGTCATATTGACAGTAACCGCCTCTCTTGGAGAACAACAAAACACAATCTGGACTAATTGCCTGTGCAACTCCACTTTCAAAAATCATGATGTGAAAGTGTCTGGTGGGGGGGAAAGCCGAATGGCCAAATAAATGCTCATTGCGCTTCATGTGAGCACTCCCTAACGTATGCTCGTGCTGCAGATCAAAATGACTATTTCTGACTATTGTACATAATTTAAAATAAGAATTTGTGTTATAGACCGTTAACTGCCGCAACAGATGCCATGCTAGGTGCTTACAATGGGAAACAAAACATTCTTATAGGGGGATTCCAGCCTTGCTATTGATCCTCTTACAAATATCAGGGTTCTAATGAAATACAACCCAAAATACAGAATTAATTGCTTAGACATTATGGGCAGAGTCTGAGTAAGCCACCTTGCCAAATTTATATCATTCTCCTTTTAAGTGCTTATATGATTATCTAAGGAACTTCCCTGTATTTAGGAAGGTTTAACCAAACCATCTTCTTCTCTCCCCCCTCCCTGCCCCCGGTATTCCTAAAGCAGAATTCAAATGTATGCTTGGGGGGAAAAAACTGCTCTTCAGACAGAGTGAAACTTGGTGCTGCAGCTTCCTACCTCTGGCCAGAAACCTCTTTTTAAAAGGCAATTCAATTAAAAATAAGCTAACGGGAGAAATAGGGTTGTGGAAGGCTAGCCAATCTGCAACTTGGCACAGCACTGCAAAGATTGTCCTTGAGACAACTGTGATTCAGAGAGTATGTGGATGAGTGATAGCTAGAAGTGCTTTGCTTGTTTGTACAGCTTAGCATTTGAGGAATAATATTCTGGCTGACATCTTAGTAACTGTTTATTACCAATTCCTTTCTACAAAGAATTACTCGTAAGATTGCTGTAGAAATCAGATCTCATTACCGAGAGAGAGTCCAGGAATTAATATTTACTAATTAGGAACTAGTGGCCTGATCTTCAGGGTTGTTGAGGTCTCTCAAATCCCATTCCATTAAGTCAGTGGAAGCAAGAGATGCTCGGCACCGCTTGAAAACCAGGCCCTAACTTTAAGAACCAATTTGCTAACATTTCAGTCCTGTGACCTAGTGCAGGACTTACTACAGTATAATCAAAGCACAGCAATTTGATTCAACTCTTCCTTGCAAAGAGAATTCAGTGCTTTAAATGGTTACTAAGGATGATCCAAGTTGCATGCTAAATATTTCAAAACTGTTTTAAAATGTATTGTCAGGGACAAAATATCAATTTCATATTATGAAACAAAAAATCCTCTTCTCTTGCCCCTTCTATAATTCATGCCTCCACATTAAGCAGAGTTATGCATGAAAAGAGAGGCTGAAGGGGTTTAAAGCACAGCATTTACCTTGTGTGGAAGGAACATGCTCTTTTTTGACAGGAAAGATCCATGAAAGTGTCTCAATTAAAGGGATTATGAAGTTTGTTTGTTCACTATGTGATCTCCTAGGTATCTGAATGTAGCTGGCCAATGAGACAAGCGCCCAGTCTGCATAATCTCTATGCTGTATGTAAGAACATGCACAACTGGTTACAGCAGAACCCCAAAAATGTGTGTGTCATCCATTGCATGGTAAGTCAGCCAGTAGCTGCATTTGAGAAATCTCTGCTTGTAACCTCTTGCTTCCCTGGGGAACTGACCAGCAATAAATGCACCATTGTACAAGGATACAATGAAGTAAGTCCATACAGGAGAATAAGCATTATATAATCTGCCAATATGCAAAAACCTAAATATAAAGAGATAATTCAACTTGATTTAAGCTAAAATTGCTTCATGTCTTACATGTATTGCAATATATTTGATCACCTAGTTTGAGAGCCTTTTCTGGCCAACACAACGGCAGACATTGCTTTGAGTAGTGTTATGGTTTGTCACAACTTTAAATGCAGTTTCTAGTTTGGCTGGGGGGAGGAGCGCTTGAATAAGAATAATTAAACCTACCATTAAAATGTGGGTCTAGTCTGAAAATTCTCTCTGCAACAAGAGGGACATTTTACTCATCAGATCTGCTTCCTGTGAGTATTGAGTCAGTTATACTAACTTCCATGAAAAGTAAGTCTGATGGCTTTTAATCCAGTGAGCCCTGCAGAGCCAACGTAGCTAAGGAAGATGAACCACGTTCTGTCCCTCCTTGTACATCAACAGACTTATTAACAAAGTAGTGTTTCCAGGGCCTTGTGCAGATCCAGTGAGAGCCATGTAGATGTTGAGGACAGTGTAGGCTGAAGATTGTGTCAGTGACACCTACACAATCACACTCTTTGGCCTGTAGAACCTTTATGGTTGATAATGATCCCGAAGGAGTTCTGTTTAACTTTCGGAACCCAGGTTGGCATTCCAGGGCTGGCAGTTTTGGGCAGTAAAAAATTCCAGATGAAATCTGCCTAGCTCATAAGAAAGTCCCGATAAATATTAACCCTGGTGCCTCATAGTGTCACTCTCAATATGAGTACGGTTTTTCTGTGAAAATCAGAAACACATAGGTTCTCTAGGTATGTAGTTTCCCAACCCAAAAGACTCAAACATGACAGAGCTCCCAAATGAATTTTGTGTGTTGAAGGGCATTTTTCTCTTTGACTGCCCTCCCCTAACTAGCTTATACAGCCAGCCAAGTCCAAAAGATAGGCAGGTTACCAATATGGGGCCCCTCTTCAGCAAGGCACTTAAACCAGTGCTTAACGTAAGGTATGCAATGATGTTGTACCCATGTTGGTCCCAGGATATTAGAGAAACAAGGTGGGTGAGGTAATATCTTTTATTGGACCAACTTCTGTTGGTGAGAGAGACAAGCTTTTGAGCTTACACAGAGCTCTAACCCTGAAGAAGAGCTCTATGTAAGCTTGAAAGACATGAGTGGTCCCTTTGATTTCAAGCACATGCCCATATTCAGCAGGATACTTAAGCCTTAGTCTGTTCTGGGGTGGCAAATCCTGTATCAAGGTAAACACTGCTTTAGCAGATGTCTGAAATAGCAGATTGCAGTGAGCCTAAGATCTGCAGGTGTATTTTAATATTACAAACAGCAAATTACTAAAACACACAGCAGAAGTTCCAATCCAAAGAGGAGTTATTTCTGGGCCCTCAAAATCTTGTGTGAATCATCAGCTACACTTGTATGCACTTCTGTAAAATAGTTGAATCAGTTTAAATCGGCTGTATTTAGTCTGGTTCAAAAGTTAATTACTGGAAATTAAAGCGCCGAAACAAGAGTTTTTATAGACCTTCCTCCTTTAGCTCTAATACAGCCATGTCATTGAAATCTTGCTGAAATGCGCTTTTAAATATGGATTGGGTTAAAATAGACTATCCTTTTCCCTTCAATTAACAGGATATCTCTGATATGTGCTCTTGCATTTTATCTGACAGGATGGCCGTGCAGCATCAGCAGTTCTGGTCAGTGCAATGTTCTGTTTCTGTCATCTCTTCTCTAGTCCAATCCCAGCTATTCAGTTGCTCAACTCAAAGAGACCTGGAATAGGACTCTGGCCATCCCACAGAAGGTAGAGTATGTTAGTCGGGCGAGCACTATTCAACATAGTTAAATGTATAACTGTTTTAGGCCTGTGGTCCCCATTTCCTTAGCTGTCCAGGCCTGGGTCCTGCAAACATTTCCGTGCGTAGTCCCACTGAAGTCAGTGGAACTGCTCATGTGCCACATGCTAGCTTGAGTAATGATGGTCTAAAGTATTAAGCAAGAGGTTTGGTGTTTGAGTTCCAGTCCTAGTATGTTAACATTGCCAGAGCTATGTAGTGTCAGGCAAGTTCCTTAGTCTTTTTGTGTCCTAGCTTCACCCTGTGTAAAGTGAGAGTAGTGAATGCTGTTTTCCTCAAATTGTGTCCAAGGATTAATAGATGAAGGCTGTTTGTTTGTTTATGATGGCTTTGTTCCCTAGGTTGAAAAAAATTAAGACAAGTCTGGACTTAATATTGCTTCAAACGTCTCCCCCAAATGACCGTTTGTCTGATCAGAAACTTGCTGTGTAAAACATCTTGTTTACAGTAGGTTTGTCTTGCAACTGAAGAATATCCTGTTGGTAGGCTCCCACAGAGTGAACAGAAAAAATGCAGTGATAAGTATGTAGAAACAAAAGTTTAAACCCCTAAGATACTTAGCCTAGTTAAACTGAAAGCAGCATTGCTGTTTCCTGGCAAGTTTTGGATTTGTCATTTATTTTTTCTTTTCCAAAAGTGCTGTTTAGGATCATTATAGAAACAAACCCTCCAATCCACTTAACTGAAGCTAAATTAACTGCTCTCTAAGGGTATATCTACACTGCGCCAAAAAAAAGGCAAAAGGGAATCTGAGCCTGAATATACAGACTCAGGCTCCTGCTACAGCACTTAAAAATAGTAGTGTAGATGTTCTTCCCCCCCCCCCCTCGACCTCTGGAACCCTGCAAGGGGGGTGGGTCTCAACCAGAGTGGGAACATCAACTGCACTGCTAT